AGGGGACGATGGATATCATCTGTATGGGAGACGGTCAACTGAAGATGGAGGGACTTCGGCAAATTTAAACATGAGAATTGGTGATATTGAGGTAGACAATCGTTAGGTGGTTCCATACTCACCACTATTGTCAAAATCATACAAAGCGCACATCAACGTAGAATATTGCAATTCCGTGAAATCGATTAAATATATCTGCAAGTACGTGAATAAAGGCAGCGATATGGCAGTTGTTGGTGTTCGGGCAGAAAATGGTGACAACAATGCAGTACGAGTTGTCGATGAAATATCTCAATACCAGGCTGGAAGATACATAAGCAGCAACGAGGCTTTTTTCGTTCCCCATTCATGAACGCTATCCAGCTTTAGTTCACTTGGCAGTCCATTTGGAGAATGGTCAACGTGTCTATTTCACAGAAAGAAATGTGCAAGAAAGAGTCCTGAATCCGCCAGCGACAACTCTGACTGCCTTCTTCACCTTATGCCAGGAAGATGATTTTGCCATAACCTTGATGTATTCAGAAGTGCCCTCTTAACCACAATATGCCACAGAGAAACGTGGCAGGGTACAGCTAGTATCCAATAAATTTTGTCGATATATGTACATGTGTAGACGTTGCACATGGTATTTTTGTTTCACTCTTTTGCAATTTCCGTGGCAGTTTGCCCATTGTATAAGCGGTTTAGAATTTGTATTAACAGACAGTAAAAAAAATATATACGAATATGTATATATATATTAATACCCTTGCAGGGTGTTATAATTTCAGTCAGAATTTTTCAACGCACTGAAGGAGGCACCTCCGACTATATAAAGTATATATATTCTTGATCAGGATCAACAGCCGAGTCGATCTAGTCATGTCCGTCTGTCCGTCTGTCCGTTTCTACGCAAACTAGTCTCTCAGTTTTGAAGCTATCTGAATCAAACTTTGCATTTAGTCTTCTATATACTCTCACTCGTATATATGTCGGAACGGGCAGGATCGGACGACTATATCATATAACTGCCATACGAATGATCGGAAAATTTTTACATAAAAAATTATAACATTTTCAGTTTTCAACAGAATTTGAGATATTGCCATTTTATATTAATTTACATTTTTGTGTAAAATTTTATGAAAATTGGACTACTATATCCTATTGATTCCATAAGAACGATCGAGAAATTATTACAATTAAAAATTATAACTTTTTTAGTTTTCAACAGATTTTGATGGAATTTGAGATATAGCAGTTTTATGTTACTTTACAATTTTATGTAAAATTTTATGAAAATCGGACTACTGTATCCTATTGATCCCATAGGAACGATCGAAAAATTAATACAATTAAAAACATGAAAGGAAGCTAACTTCGACACGCCGCAGTCTATATACCCTTGTAGATAGAACTTCGATGACTTGGAATCCATACAATATAAAGTATATATATTTATGTTCAAAAAAAATGAAGTAATACCTGCTTTCATTTCATTCACCTATACATATTATATTAACAGTTTTACATTCACAGATTTGCTTTTTTCTTCTACATCTAACAATCGTTTGTATGTATAGTAGTCAGATTTTCATAAAACTTTACACAACATTTTAGAGTAATATAAAATGGCTATATCTCAAATTTGATCAAATTCTGTTGAAAACTGAAAAAGTTATAGTTTTTAATTGTATTAATTTCTCGATCGTTTCTATGGGAGCAATAGGATATAGTAGTCCGAAAGGAAATAAAGTCTAATTAGATAAAGCAAGTGTAATATCTTATTTTGTGGATGGTGTTCCAGATAGTGAAGTCAACAGGACTATCTTATACCGATATCATACACTTGATAAATCGGCATATTTTTCTCTATATATCACGATCGTTTCTATGGCAGCTATGTATAGCGTCCTATTTTCATAAAATTAAAACCGAATAATATAAAATAACTATGTATATCTTATATTATATGAAAATCTTTTGAAAACTGAAAAAGTTCGAATTTTTAATTGTATTAATTTCTCGATCGTTCTTATAGCAGCTGTATGATCAAATCGATTCGATTATGTGCGAAAACGACTCATATATTTATTTTATTTATGTATCAAGTGATTATTTATTTTATTTATTTATTTGTTTTATTATCTTCAAAGATAGCTTTGCTGTCCTTAGGCAAAAATATGAAATAAAATTTTTGAGAATTCCAACACGGAACCATTGAACCTTTTTCAATTTTATTTTGTGCACAAAAAATATCATTCATAATCATTTTATTATTATCATATTATTATTTTTTAATTTTATATTTTTTTTATCAAAAATAATTTGTAAATATAAATGGAGTTAAATTGCCTTTAAAAATTAAAATAGAAATCGAAAAATAATTATTACCAGTTGGTATTTATAATATAAGTTATAATGATTGGAACCGTTATATTTTGTCGCAATAATAGATTAGGATGCGATAATGCTGACAAATGGAGTTAGACTGGGAAAGGGTTCGAGAAGTTTACGTGGCTTAAATTTAATTTTAATAATTGTAATCAATTAAGTATGCAGCCGTCATTGAAAACGACTTATTATAGGAAGTGGATATTACTTTAAGTTCAGGTGGCGTACAATTCTGGTGAAAGGAAGCTTCTGAGATATTTAAATTTATTGTGCGTGAGAGTTTTTTTGCTTAACGAAAACATCCGCTGAAGTGCAATTTAATCATCTTATTAAGGGTTTAAGAGGTGAAGTTGAACAGCTGATAAATATTTACACAGCAAAGGAAGAGATTGAGTCGTAAGTGAAAATGAAAATTGAGCTGGAAGACAATTTTCCCATTTACCAGGCCCCATGTAGTATTTCATATTAATATACAGTTTGTCAAGTAATTCTTTGCAAAACGAAAAATCCCTCACAATTTTGGGTTTAAACTGAAAAATTTTTGACAAATACAAGAATTTTTAAAAATTTTCTTTTATAATATTATTAGGATAACTTTAATCTATAGATATAAAAAAAACTTAAATATTTTATCTTAAAACATAGTAAAAAATAACAAAATAAGATAATAACAATAACAAATATAAGATGATTATTGAAAACCAAGTCCCAGATTGGTTAGAGGAAGGATTGGTCCCTCATATGTTTCATATAGATTGCCCAAAAAAACTGTGTTGTAATTTCAGGAAAATTAATTTAAAATATAAATTACAAATATACATTGGAAAATGGTGTTGATAAATGTTGTATTTGAACGATTGAAGGGTACAAAGAATCTTGTAGCGTCGGATCTCTTGGAATCCGATAAAAGCTATGAAGGCTAATTTGTCCTCGGGATTTCTTAAAGTGACAAAGAATCCGAGAAAAGCTATGAAGGCTAATTTGTCCTCGGGATTTCTTAAAGTGACAAAGAAGTTTAACCACATAGTTGTAGTTTTTGATATGATTTTACAATTTTTATGGTTATATCCCATTAAGTGTACAGGAACTGACGAAGTCTTAGTCTTTGGCACCCCGCAGTTTGTATACCCTTGCAGATTCGATCACTAGGGATTAATACAATATAAATTATATGTATACATTTATGTTAAAAAAACAACAAAGTAATGGCTAATTTCATTACATTAACCTATGCATATTATTTTAATAGTTTTACAGTGACAGTCTTACATTCCCAGTGTTTAATTATTCTGAAGATTTGATTTCGTAAAATTAAAACCGAAATTGAAGGATAATATAAAACGGCTATATCCAAAACTTGATGAAAACTGAGAAAGTTTAAAATTTTTAATTGTATTAATTCCTCGATCGTTCCCATGGCAGCTACATATATATGTGTAGTGGTCCGATTTTTATAAAATTTTTCACAAAATGGTTGAATGATATAAAATGACTATATTACATATGAAAATCTGTTGAAAACTGAAAAAATTGGAATGAATTTAACATGGGCATGTCCTAGGCTGTCATCAACAACAATTCATCAACAAAATTCATCAACAATTCATCGATGATTCATAAAAAATTATTCATAAACAAACCATAAACATTTCATCAACAATTCATTAACACTCATCGACAGCCGAGCCATGGTACTGTCGATGACTGCCGACGAGACTACCGTTGTAACTGTATCGTGTGCAGAGCGTCAACTCGGTAGAAGTCGCAGTCGGCAGAGCGTCGGCTTGGTAGAAGTCGCAGTCGGCGCGTTGATGACATTTGGTACTGCAGTGGAGCTCAAGAGAGTTGAATGTACATGCTAGTGTATGCATAAGTCAAATCGTGGGAATGCTGACTTCTGCATTTATTGTCGTCAAAGGAGGACTCGGGTGATAGTGTTACGGTCAGCTCGAACTATGCCTTGTGTTTATGTAAACACTGCAACAAAGTGTTACATTGTGTATTCCTTTCGTACTCTTAGTAAAGTGGGCATTAGTTATTCATGTATGTACATAGACTTCGTATAAAACCTATTCTGTGGTGACGTGGAAAATACTATACAAATACAAATATAGATCAAACACTTTAACGTGCAGAGTAGAATAACTGGATCCTTTATACCTACAGTGTTGGGCCACTGTAAAGCTTTAACCCCTTAAGTCTTATATGCAAATAATAACTATTTTATCTAAACATAGATAGCCTTCCTAAAATAAAAATATTAATTAAGCGAAAGGGAATGGCACAATAAAAAACATATGGTAAAGATTATTTCTTTTATTTTATAATTAAACATAATTTTTAATTTTGAGTACAAAAATTGAAATTTTAAAGAAAAAAATTTTTATTAAAAAGTGATATACAAAAAGTGATATAAAAAAAAAATATTTTTCAGCAATATTCATATTACATATATGTATATATTATTTCATTATTATTTATTTTTTCTGTTGAAATAGCAAAGTTAAAATTTTCTTTGATACTTCCTATATTTTTGATGTAAGCCTATGTAATATAGTAGATTTTTTTTACATTGAAACTATATTTGTAATGCCTAATTTAATCGCATATATTTTTGTTATTTGCAGGACTCCATAGAGCAGTGGCAAAATGTTTTTCAAGTTTCTGCTATTATTTCAATATCGACGTATGGTTTTTATCAAATTTTTGGTACAGCTGAAATACAAACTTGGAATAAAGAGAGACCTACAGATGAGGATTTACAGGAGGGAAAAATTTTATCCAAACCAAAAGAAAATACAAGTATTGACGAAAATTAAAAACAATGAACTTAAAATAATGTCCTGCTTTGAATATATATTTAATATTTTGTGACTATGTGTTTTTATGAATGATAAATAAAAAATGGCGCAAAATTCTTATATGTCTATTTGTTGACGTGCGAAAAGCATTACATGCGGAATTGAAAATCATATAGCGATGGACGGTTGTAAAACGGTAACATATAAAGTTCTTGACAATTTGATATTAACTTTGGGCACCATAAAAATAAGGTTAAACATTTATCTTCGGCAAACGATAAAAAAAATATGCGTTTGATCGACACTATTTCAATTTGAAGACTGTAACGAATTACCAGGTCCGGTTGGTAGGCGAAAGTACGAAGGTCGCAGGTGCTCACCCTTTGGACGGCTTTTGGGTTGCTAATAAATGATCCGCGATTCTTAGCAGCGCTCTAGAGCCTATTGCTTTACTTCAACTACGACGGACAGTGGTTGTCCCACTTAGAGTTAGAAATATTTAGGCGCACTCATTTCACCGCGATATTTGTGTGTGTATTTATGTATTTATGAATTTAATGCCCTTCAAAAATAATAAAGCGATAAAATCACTCAGCAGAATTCCACCGACAAAAGCACTTCCGTTGGATCCGCACCAGTTGAACAATTTTAAATATTTTTCACGCGCTGTTTCGGGGCTCCAGGCCCACTGTGCCCCGCAATATTTTCGAATGTTCTTTTACGTCACTCTTTACACTTGCTAAATCCAAAAAGGACCGACCATGGCCAAACTCGACCAATTGTCGCGGTTCTTTTTCTTCTACCTTATCCACTAATTTCCTCCGCCTTTTCCTTGCGCGTTTCTACCAGCTTGCGGATTACCCTCTTGCTTGCACTTAGCCTAAACTTAATTATCAAAACTAACAAAATATTCCCGTCGCAGCATCTCAATCACTTTTTCTCTTGGTCCTTCTCTCTTCTATCTTTTTTCCCTCCTCTTTTCGAGCTAAAAGCGCGATGAACACGGGCCGGCCACCAAATATCATTTGCACAACCGCCCAGACTCTGAATTAATTTTCTTATTCGCCTGAAACTGCATTCAGCGCTTCTACGCTGAGCTGAATTTTTTTCCTTTTGATTTTCGCCTTCCTCCAGCAACCTTCTTACGGCACCCACCCTTTTTATAAACTCCTCCGACAGATGCCGCTTTTGCCTCTTTCACTCAGAAAGCTACTCCCCCGCCTTTCTACTTCTACTCTTTACTTCAGTACGGGGAACAACATGTAGATGGCATTTATGCTAATTTGGGTGTTTTTCCAATCTAACGTACATAAATAAAGTCGAATATAAAAAAAACCGCCTTGCTTGCCTGTCGACAAGCGCTACAAACTGACCCTCCACAAGATCGGACTTGGGGGTGACACTCCCAACATTTTTTTTTCAAATAATTTCACTAATACCCACCTAACTTCTATCACTAAGCAAGAAATACATAGAGGAGTCAAACAGTACCAAAAAGTACTATCACAAAAACGGCTGAGCCTGGAACCCTAGAGCACCCGAACGATATGTCTAGAACCCCAGAGTGCCTTCGGCTTTTTCGAGTTCGAAGCAGTCGTTCGAAACCGAGCACAACAAGAATTCACTTTTCAGTGGCAGATCGGCTGTGTAAGGATGAGCAGGGGTGCGTTTCTTTGCGCTGTGCTCTCTTTTCTGTGTATATGTGTATATGTGTACAAGCAATCACACGTTTGTATGCGTGTGCAAATTTCTGTTCGCAGAGTCTTTTTCATAGGTTTCGGACGGCCACAGCCATTGGGCCGAAGCGGCGGCTCACTTGCTTATGACGTCACAGCAATACTTAGCGGCTAGCGCTTGCATTGGGGGACAAATTATTTAAGTTATCTAACTATAATTACCACTTATTTTAATTTAATTTTTTTTTGTCTGACAATATATTTTCCAAAAGGCATTTTTGACCGACCAGAAATTATTATTGCATTCCATATTGTATAAAAACATTTTTATTTGTTTCAGTACATTTGCATATTTATAAAATTATAATTAGAAACTAATTGTATAATTAATTAATTAATTGTAAACTAGAAAATAATAGATTTATGGTAAATGTATGACATTATTTTTCAACTATGAACAGAACCTACTCACATACACTCAACCGCATATCTCTGCATACACCCCAAAAAATTTTCAAATTCAAATTTTAAACACACACTGTTCAGTTAATTATTAACATTTTAGACAAATTTTTATTCTAACATATTCCATATATGTTAGAAAAAAATTTGTCTAAAATGTTAATAATAAACATATTCTATATATGTTAGAAAAAAATTTGTCTAAAATGTTAATAATTAACATATTCTATATATGTTAGAAAAAAATTTGTCTAAAATGTTAATTAATGTCATACATTTACCATAAATCTATTATTTTCTAGTTTACAATTAATTAATTAATTATACAATTAGTTTCTAATTATAATTTTATAAATATGCAAATGTACTGAAACAAATAAAAATGTTTTTATACAATATGGAATGCAATAATAATTTCTGGTCGGTCAAAAATGCCTTTTGGAAAATATATTGTCAGACAAAAAAATTAAATTAAAATAAGTGGTAATTATAGTTAGATAACTTAAATAATTTGTCCCCCAATGCAAGCGCTAGCCGCTAAGTATTGCTGTGACGTCATAAGCAAGTGAGCCGCCGCTTCGGCCCACTGGCTGTGGCCGTCCGAAACCTATGAAAAAGACTCTGCGAACAGAAATTTGCACACGCATACAAACGTGTGAGCGCTTGTACACATATACACATATACACAGAAACGAGAGCACAGCGCAAAGAAACGCACCCCTGCTCATCCTTACACAGCCGATCTGCCACTGAAAAGTGAATTCTTGTTGTGCTCGGTTTCGAACGACTGCTTCGAACTCGAAAAAGCCGAAGGCACTCTGGGGTTCTAGACATATCGTTCGGGTGCTCTGGGGTTCCAGGCTCAGCCGTTTTTGTGATAGTACTTTTTGGTACTGTTTGACTCCTCTATGTATTTCTTGCTTAGTGCTTCTATACAACATAATTTTATTGCTGGCTTGTTCGACATTTCGCTGTCTCAAGTGAACCAAATACGAAATTCCTTAGAGCGCTTACTTTATTTTACCTCACATCCGGCGAGAGTTAGTTTAGCTAGGCTGACCTACAGAATATATCTGACCGTCACGTCAAAAAATTCGGACGGATGTCGAGATCAGCACCGTGGAGGAGGGGCGAGGGCTGGTTTGGGTACTGGCGTGGGTCGTGCAGACACAACATATCGTTCCACCCTGATCAAGGCCCTGTTCCGACCTGGATCCTGTCGTGACGTTTACGTCTCCCGAGCGACTGTGCGTCATGAGCCCCGACGAGGTGATGGTAGATGCCGCCTCAGACCGTCCTTTGACGCCAGCACTGGGGCAAGACTTGGCATTCCCAGTCTTTACCGGCGACCGGACGGAGGAGATCTTTGGAAGGCTCAAGGTTCCCTGCGCCACCTAGTCCCCTTCTGAAGTACAGTTACGCATAGGCAAGACTACGCATTGGGAATCAGAACCATGCGACAGTGACCATTCAGAAATTCTGGCGAAAGGAGACTCGACCACCGCAAGGGTGGCCGAGGTAATACCACCGTTGGTGCACACTGCAACACCAATCCCGTCTGGAGGCGAGGACACTCCTCCACGACCCCATGGACCAGTGTGCATCGATCTTTATTCGCATGCATTTTGGAGTGCGTTTCAAAGAAATGGACAGCGGCCTTATACAGAAGAATATATATGCTCATACATATAGCTGGAGACAGCAAGAGCGCGACAGAAGTTGAATATGCGTGCATTGAATATATACACTCAAGGAATATGCTTGGCTCTGAGGCGCGTTTGAGCTATCATATTTGTTTTGACCAATTGAGTTTAACGGCCGAACTTTTTGTATTCACATAAGTACTCTGCAACACAATGTTGAAATTAGTACAGTGGGTACACGCTGCACGATACATTCATACTACATCTCCCTTCTTTTGAAAAATAACGTAAAAAATTGAATTTATTCTCCAGAAATTATATGAGTTAACAACCTAGTTTCTAAAATCATTGACAAAGAAGATGCAAGCTCAGTACATATGGCGCAACCGGGTGAAGAAACCAGAAGTTGAATTTACTACCAACTCAGGAAACTTCCGGATTAGTGTTCCCACGATCGCTACCCAAAAGATGCAAGCTCAGCGCACGTGGCTTACCATATCTGGGGCATCTGCCAATGTGGAAATCAATGCATTGACCAATGGTAATTAGAAGCGGCCAATAGTTACAAATCGTCAAGACCAGCTAATGAGAACAAAGAACGTCAGCGGAAAAACAAAGAACGTCAGCGGAAGCAATGACGGCGGCAGAGACGGTGACAGCGATGGAGCAACAAGCAGCCTATATAAACGATTGTTAAGCTTAAGCAAATTCAGTTCTTAACCCAATTCAAAACAATAAAGATTATTTTTTACTGAAAAAATAACCAATAATCTTTAACTGGCGCCCGAACAGGGACCTGGTTATAATCCTCGAGAAGTGCAAGTTCCGCGTTTCGCGTCGATCGGTAAAAAAATCCCGACGTTCGGTATAATAACTCCGCCTAATACGTGAAGAGTGAAATTCAACAACGTGAACCGGAGGAGCGAAAAACAGTCGCTATCAATATTTCATTATTATTATATAAATTACTATTATCGCCGTGATCCCTTTAGTACCCGTTTGGGGGAACGTGAGAAAAGGTATAGAGGAGGGCCCCCAGTAGACCCACACTCGAGAGGAATCGCCGCAGAGTGGGACAAAAAGGAACCCTCCAAGTCTATCGTCATAAGAGCACGCCGAGGAATGTTATTACTGTAAGAATAGCTTTAAGTACACCTGGAAAAATAATAATATTGAAAAGAAATTAACACAATTAGCAATTAAGAATTCTAAAAAAACATAAGAAAACAAAATTCAAATTATTTACTAATTATCTAA